AAATCTTATTTCATTTAAAAGTTCAAAACTTCAATTTTTTTGTGGGTTTGGTTGACACATCCTTGCATTTTCACAAATTTTAATTTTACTCTTAATACTTAGGAAAAGTGGCAATCTTGTTGTGTATAAATGAAAAATATAAATACTATAGTCCAGAATATTTAGAGTCGACATGTTCGAAAGCAAAAGAAACACTCAATATATTTTCAGTCTGTGTAGTTGTGGTGAGCAGACTTTGACGATTGAACGCACCCGGTGAATCGTAAACATCAACAATAACAGAGCTCGTGCCCTGTTTACAAAAAACTGTGTACATTTACACGGGTGTGATCGATTTGCTAAACTCTGTACAAAACACTTAGCTCGGAATGACGATACTTGTGAAGGAGTTTTGCTTTGTAATATTTCTACTCTGAATAAAATTATTTTTCTGGATTAAAGTTTTAATATTTCTCATTAATACAAAACAAGATTGCCACTTTTCCTAAGGATTAAAAATAAAGTTAAAATTTGTGAAAGTGCAAGGATGTGTCAATCAAACCCGCCAAAAAATTTAAAGTTTTAATTCTTGAATGAAATAAGATTTTTAATTAATTTTTGTGTTATATGCTATTAAAATATATAATTCGTGATATTATACAGAAAATATTAACTTTAAATCTGTGTCCAAGTACCTTTAAAGGTTTCTTGAATTTTTGAGTGATGTGCTGTTACGTATGAGCTATACAGTATACATGTATGTCATCCAATACATCTCATCACGGGTAAATATAAGTAACACTGAACGTAAATTAGGGTCATCTTTTATATTTGTGAGTGAGATTCTGTCGGGTTGGATGCTCCTTTCAGTTGAATTCCTGTGACAGTAACGGTGTCTTGGAGGGAAGGTGGACTTCGGAATACCCGGATGACTGTACAGTGCCCTGGAAGTGGACTGGGAGCATTCCAATCGTCAAAGAGTACAACACCAACGGAAACAAGCCCGTCCGATATGGCCAGTGCTGGGTATTCTCCGGACTCACCACCACAAGTAAGCCCATTCATTACCGGGTATATCAGGTGTTTAATCTTATGCAATACAGTGTCGAGAACACGTGGTCAACCTGGATTTGTTTACCTTTAGTCTGTCGCTGTCTTGGGATACCTACACGGTCCGTGACCAACTTTGATTCTGCGCACGACACAGACAGTAGCATGACCATAGACTCTCACTGGGACGAGGAGGGGGAACCCATAGAAGATATGAACGATTCCGTCTGGTAAGCTGCCATAAGCGAATAATCATCAAATAAAAAGATTTTCAGTGTTGTATGTAAGAACTCGAAACGTTTTGTTATATATAGGAACTTTCACGTTTGGAACGAGTCTTGTCTACGACGTTTAGATTTACCGGAGGGCTATGACGGTTGGCAAGCACATGACGCCACGCCACAGGAGGTTAGAGAAGGTGTGACTTCAATTATCGTTTTAGATAAAATCAAGTCAGAAATTATGTGTTATACTGTACTTTAGGCAGAAAACTAAACACTAAATTCCTCACACTTTCATCGGATTTTATTCGTATATTCTTCAGGAGTGATGAGGTGTGGCCCCGCCCCTTTGAAAGAGGGTCACGTGTATCTCTGCTACGACATATCCTTCAAATACGCCGAGGTCAATGGAGATCGCGTTCAGTGGGTGGTAGGTTAACAAACATATCCTCACAAAAAATTCGTGGGGTGAAATAGTAATTACATCATACATGTGTCTGCCTGTCCATTCGTCCGTCCGATCAATCTTCCATGGGCTATAACTTTGTATTGAAGTTCAATTGTTTATGACCGGAAAGGGGGTGTCTTGACTTGGACAAAAGGTCATTCCGGTAGAATGAGGTCACTGATAAAAAGTATTTCAAGAAACTTATTAGGTTATAACTTTGTAATGGAAAAAATCCTTAGTAAAAAGATTATTATGACCGAAAAATGTGTCGCGACCTCAAACCAAGATCAATGAGGATCAAGTTGTCTATGCTATAATTCTTTGGAAATTTGTACATGGTACACAATTTTTTTTATGGCATGAGGGTGTCAAGACCTTGACCCGAAGTCATTGTGACAAAATGGAGGTCCTTGACAGTGAAATGCATGCATGACCGTTCTTTCATATGTAGAAATATAGGTTATCCATTTCCATTAAATAAATACAAAGATTACTGATGACTTCTTAGAGGACATGGCATTTTTTCTAGCAAGTTTGACAGCTGCTTCTTCAACAAAAATGGAACTCGTAAGTTTACTTACCTCGTCATTGGTCATTTGAAAAATTATTTTGTTAAAACAAATTCTGATTGTACACATAAGTACTCTGAAGTTGACATCAAGAAGATGCTTGAGTTTCTGATTGACAATATCTATGTGGTTTTTGGAGACCAGGTTTTCCAACAATCTATTGGAATTCCCATGGGTACAAATTGCGCTCCGTTATTAGCAGACTTATTTTTATATTCATATGAAGCAGAATTTATGCAAAATCTTTTGCGTGAAAAGAAAAAAACACTTGCTGTGGCCTTCAACTCGACATTTAGATATATCGACGACGTATTGTCAATTAATAATGATAATTTCCATTCCTACGTCGACACGATATATCCTGGTGAGCTTGAGATAAAAGATACCACAGAGTCCAACACATCTGCTTCATACTTGGATATTTTACTTGAAAAAGACACAAATGGTAATCTAACAACCAAGCTATATGATAAACGTGATGACTTTAACTTTTCTATCGTCAACTTCCCTTACTTATGCAGCAATATACCTTCATCACCTGCATACGGAGTATTTATATCTCAGTTGATTCGATACGCAAGAGCATGCTCTACGTATGAACAATTTCTTAAACGAGGTAAATTATTGACAAGCAAGTTGATGAAACAAGAATATCAACAGTCTCGTTTAAAGTCATCATTTCGTAAATTCTATGGTCGATACAATGACCTTGTCAGCAAATACAATTTATCATTGAATGAAATGCTGACTGACGTTTTTCATACCAATTGTTAGTCCATTATTTATACACTGAATTGACTACGGATTTTTTCCGTTATTTCCTGATTATGACAATGAGCACACGGCGGGTGTGACCGGTCAGCAGGGGATGCTCACTCCTCCATGGCACCTGATCCCACCTCTGATGTTTCGGAGGTCCGTGTTTGCTCTGCTCTTGTTTTGTATATTTGTTTAATGGACGTTGAGATTGAATACTGTTCGTTATTTCCATATCCTTATTTGATTGATTGATTGTATATTGTTAACGTCCCTCTCGAAAATTTTTCACTCATATGGAGGCGTCACCACTTGTCGGTGCAGTGTTGTAAATTTCATCGTACACTCGGCACTAGGGCCAATGAGGAGGGAAGGATTTTTTTCGTACCAGCATCTACTGCTACACGGGACCTCCATTTATACGGTGGGACTCGAACCCGTAGCAAGTTCGAGGTCACGTTAAAAAAATGGACACTGTCATTATATTGATATGGGAGGCGAGGGTATCATTTAGTGAGCTCATTGCTCTCAGTACCTCTACAGTTTTGGCAGGGAAAATGTTCAAAGACAGTGGACTATTTGTGAGCAGAATTCCCTGCTGTTTATAAGAATTGGGAAAATAATGAAAATAATGAATTCAATTACTTATTCTTGCTCTTTTATATGCTAAAAGTATTTTAATCTAATAAAAAGTGTAAATTACAGTAAATAACATTTTTAAAAATCTTACTTCTTAGGGCAGATCACTCTAACTGCATAAAACTACACTCTCCTACAGCTCTTTAGTGTGCAATGTTTAGAGCTTCCTTAATAATATTTAGTGCTATTTCATTCCAAATTATCAAAATTCTCAATTTAGTTGTTCTTATACATTGTTCATGCATATAAATGTTCATGCACGCATTCTGAGGATTTACTGAAACATAATAACTAAGAGGATATATACTACATGTACCTCAGGAATACTTTTGGAATGCTGATTAATTCGTGGATACTGAAAGAAAATTCTAAACGATAAAATACATTTTATGTGATCTTTTTATTACTTGTGATTTAAGCCTTTTTAAAATACACAAACTTATACAATACCACATAATTATAAATCCTCTTAATATGAAGCATTTGAGATATTTACATCACTTAGTACATGTAGATCCGCCTCCGGGATCTTTGACAATAACATAGAGATAGTTGCAAAGTCGGATACTACAAGTACATGAAACCTTATTTACGCCAGATTATTTATTAATAAGGATTTACTGTGATTTGACTCATATCCATAGTGCCTGTTGTTGATGAGTTTAATTAGATACATTGTGCAATGTAAGTTTATATGTAAATTGCTTTAACTCTATATATTGAAGATTAGTGCATTGTGTATATTGTTTTGAGCATTAGGTTAACATAATTTATGACTATACAAAAGAATATTACTATAGGAGACTCTCTCTCTCTCTCTCTCTCTCTCTCTCTCTCATTGTACGAGAACCATACAAGTCTGTTGTCATTATTCTTTCCAAACATTTTTTTAAACTTGCTGTGAAAGATTTTTGAAAATATTTAAATCAAACAACTGGAACTCGAACCATTGGCCTTGCTCAGACTACTTTTCCACTCAAAAGGGATAAGAAATCCTTGCTTTCGGTAATACATAATGGCTATCTATCTAGCTTCTATTACAGCTTTTTAGATTAAATTATGCTCATACATGTACGGATGCAGGCTTTTGTTATTTTGAATATTGCAGAATCCGATATTGACGTTTTCCTATTATGAAGGCTGTCTTACATAACATGCATTCTTACTGATAACAATTACACAGCAATTTATTATTGCAGCATTTGCAAGGTGCCGGTAATTCCTGGAGCATGTTTTAAAAATTCTTATACAATGACTGCATTTCTTTCAAATACGATACACATACTAGAAATTGATTTTGAGTGCGACATATGACTTTCTTCTAATATTTCGACACGGATTAACTTTAACTTCGCCACAAGTTAAAAATAAAGTTAAATTGGAGTTCCATTTATTAGAACCGGTTGATCTTTAATATTCGGACTTCTTCAGTACATTAAAAAGTTGGCGCCGTCAACATGGCTCTGTGGGGCGTGTTATCTAACCTATTTTCTGAGGTCTGGCGCTTTGCTTTCCCATCTAAAGATGACGAGACTGAAGTGCGTAAAAGGTAAGTTAAATTTAAGGAGGAATGCCACACGAACTTCTTATTTTATAGATCTGAGTCAACCTTTTTTAAACAATTGTTTCAGCATCGAAAGGCCGACATTAGCTCTCAATTATTTTATATGAATTTTTTTTGTATTTTTTCAAAGAAAATGAAAAAAAAATTATTTCCATCAAAATAAGACGCTTTCTTGTAAAAAAAAATTACTGTAAATGAATGCATCACATTAATATCTAAGATATGTGAAGAAAAGCCGTATAGATATTAAAAAATTTTAGATAAAGAAATATTTATGAAAATAAAACACATCATTTGTGAATATTTTTTAAATCTGTGGTTAGGATTTTGTTAAAACCAGTCACAACTGGGGAGAACATATTGGTTAATCAAATTGAATTAATTGAAACAAAAATAGCGAAATTTTAGATAAATTACTTTTTTTTTAATTTTGGCCAATCTCGATCAAAATCAAACCGATCCCGACCATAACTGTACAATTATTAGAATTAAATAACATTTCCCCGAGAAAACTAGTCTGATTAGGTGTAATAAGGGTTAAAACATTATTAAACTTGACAATAACATAGAATTCTTCATTGTAAATACATGAAGATACAATAAATTAGTAGTTTATTCATTTTGTGTTAATTTTGATCGGGACCAGTTTAATTTTGATCGGGTCAGGTCCAAATATTGAAAAAATTATTTTCTCTTAAATTCCTCAATTTCGTTTCAATTTCTTTTTAAAATATGATTGACAAACATGTTCTCCTCAGTTGTGACTAGTTTTATGGTGTTTTTAACCATGGGTTTAAAAATATTCACAAATAATGTGTTTTATTTTCATATATATTTTTTTTTATAAAAAAAAATTAAAAAGTCTAACCAGCCTTTCTTTATATGTTTAATTAGATATTAATATGATAATTTATTTACAGCAAACTTTTAACTCGAAAACATCTTAGTTGGATATAATTAATTTTTTTTTTCATTTTCTTTGAAAAAAATACAAAGAAATTCATATAAAATAAATAAGAGCTAATATTGACCTTTCAATGACAAAACCCTTGTTTAAAAAGGATGACTCAAAGATCTATAGAATAAAAAGTTGGTGTGGCATTCCATCTTAAACCCAGACTTGTTGTATACAGACCGTTGAAAACAGATTTTTTTTTTTCTGGTATTAAGGAGTTTTAGAAAACGAGATGAGTTTTCTCGAGTTTTTCGAAGTTTAAGGCAATGCTTTTGGTTTCCATAGTTCTAATTTGCTCTTCCCGAAAATATATTAGTGTTAATGTGCTTTGCAGAAGTTACTTTGATACACCAATCCATGTCTCTTGGGGTGAGGGTGGAGTGGGGTATACAATTATAACAGCATGATCATTTCAGTACATAATAAGAAATTAATCATTTTCACCACGGATGTATATATTTTATCAATGTGAACAATATTTCAAATTTCATACAAGTTTCTTGTTTTTGTTTGGTTGGTTTTTTAAGATCTTAACTATGTTACTAGTATGTATTTTTGGCCTCTGTATGGATTTTAAGAAAATGTATTTACCATGTAATATCTTATTAGGGGACAGTATATCTAGAAAACTTGTATACTTCCAATGCTGCTAGCAAGCTATTTCATGCAACCTAGCATGAAGAACATATAGTATGTAGATAATACTTAGGTTTGTAACACGTGGATGTTACAATTTGAACCGTTTACATTCATATCAGTTACATTGAAAAAATTTGGAATTTTTTTTCCTGATGCCATCTTTGCATTTTAATGCCAGGTATCGAAACTTTAGTAAGCTCAGACTTCGATCAATTATTGTTCATCAAAACAACAAGTTTTTTAAAAAAAACCCTTGTATTCACCACATATAATAAACTACAAAGAACACATCAGGGATAGGACTTTTTAAAGTGTTGATCATTTCATTATGGACAGGCCCCGAAATAGAAAACCCCTGGGAGAGAAGGAAGAGGGGAGAATAAATACCCTGTCTGACGAGGAACTGAGGTCCAGAAGCACGATCCTTAAACCCACAGACAAACGTGAGTATAAAGCACCCGTGTCCTTAAACCCACAGACAAACGTGAGTATATAGCACCAAAGTCCTTAAACCCACAGACAAACGTGAGTATATAACACCCGTGTCCTTAAACCCACAGACAAACGTGAGTATATAACACCCGTGTCCTTAAACCCACAGACAAACGTGAGTATACAGCACCAAAGTCCTTAAACCCACAGACAAACGTGAGTATATAACACCCATGTCTTTAAACCCAAAGACAAACTTGAGTATATAGCACCAAAGTCCTTAAACCCACAGACAAACGTAAGTATATGGCACCCGTGTCTTCAAACCCACAGACAAACGTGAGTATATAGCACCAAAGTCCTGAAACCCACAGACAAACGTGAGTATATGGCACCCGTGTCTTCAAACCCACAGACAAACGTGAGTATATAACACCCATGTCCTTAAAGCCACAGACGAACGTGAGTATAAAGCACCATGTCCTTAAACCCACAGACAAACGTGAGTATATAACACCCGTGTCATTAAACCCACAGACCAAGGGAAGTATATTGCACCCGTGTCCTTAAACCCACAGACAAACGTAAGTATACAGCACTCACGTCCTTAAACCCACAGACAAACGTAAGTATATGGCACCCGTGTCCTTAAACCCACAGACAAACATGAGTATATAACACCCGTGTCCTTAAACTCACAGACATTCGTGAGTATATAACACCCATGTCCTTAAACCGACAGACAAACATGAGTATATAGCACCCATGTCCTTAAACCGACAGACAATTGTGAGATTTTTAGCACCCATGTCCTTAAACCGACAGACAGATAAACATGAGTTTATAAAACTAATGTCTTTACACCGACAGGCAAAATTAAGTAATAAAACTGACCGTCGTTCTTACACAGACAGACAAACGTATGTATATTAAACTGATGTTCGTATACCGAAAACAATTGTGAGCATATAAAATGACGTATTTAAACCGACAGACTTGCATCACCGTATACAACGGGTAACGCGGGGGAGTCGCTAAAAAGTATGGGGGAGTCGTTTTCAGCTTAAGGGGGAGTCGATTTTCACCGCTTCGGAGACAGAAGAGATGTGGGTCACGTCTTTTTTCGGTATATGTAAGATGTATTTACAAAAACCAAATAGCCCACGGAAGGTAGCAATAGTTAAGCTTTCTGTTGCTCATTTGTTCGGCTAGCATTTACGTCTATTTTTCTCAAACACTTCGAAACTATTCGACAGATTTCATATTTACGTTGATCGAGTGGTTAAAACATGCATAGTCTGCACAATCTACTACTTGTGTAGGGATTATGACAGTTAAAACAGCAAAAGCAAATGTTAATCTTTCAAATGTAAATATTCAAACTTGGCTAGACTTTATAAAAATTAACAATTGAGACATTTTCTCTTCAGACAGTATTGTTCACGTCGGGGGAGTCGTTTCTGGAGAAACACAACGCATAGTGGAGTCGCACAATTGAATTGTACTATCAATTTACATTTCGACTTTTCTTTTTCTAAATGCTTCCTTACAAAATTATTTTGATAATTTTAGTAAAATGTAACATGAATAAAGATCAATATAAGCAATTATAAAAAAAATGTATGTATCGTTACGCTTTGCAAATTTCCTTCACACATCACATTAAACTCTTCTGAAGAGTATAATTCGGGATGAGGGCATGATATTTTAATATTTTTCTTTGTGAATTTTTATAGCTCTTATTATAATTCGAACTTCAAACTTTGCCCTTACCCAATAATAACAATCCTGAAATACATTTCACGAAACACGCACGTAGTATGAAGGGTCATCCAACGTTTTGTTGCAGAATAGTTAAATCATAGTTATATTTGCTAATGTGTAAATAAAATTTGGTTGAGAAACTCTGTTGTAACATTCTTCCACCAACCTTTTTTTTTGCTTGTCAAAATTCTTCAGATATGTTTGAAAAATTGATGTAAAAACACTATAATTAAAAAAGGTAGAACGGTTACCTTTCTACTGTTTTCCTGAGCGGTCAAACAAGTCCCTGCTTGACAGTGGAGTGAGATGTTGGACATGTACATGAGATATTGCACCACTTACTTCACAGTGTGGGCGGGGTCACTGTCAGAACTTTACGGAATTGACCAAGTTTAAACTGCAGTGCGGGTGAACAAAATTTCATCATGATAATAGCATAATAAACACTATAACAAATCATTTATCGATTGTTTTCTCGGACAAAAATGCTTTTTGTCGACCCCTCAAACAAAACTTTTTGCCTACGGCCTAACAACCTCGAGCAAACAGTTGGTTCATCGGTCCGACAAAAAAGCATGTTGCCCTCGAACCCTGTCTATGAATGTATAGGAATGTATAGTACTGACTCCCCCTTTCAAAAACCTAGTGCCTGTAAAAGAACATTTCATGTGGCTGTGTTTATTACATGTATGTCAACTTTCAAATTAAACGCCGCATTGGTAATCAGGGAACACTAGACAAATATAATTGAAGACATCAACTTGAATACACTGTAGTATTTTCTTTATTTCAATTAACGTGCCTTCAATTTGATAAATGGTTGTGCATTTGAAATATTAATAAGAAATGTACAAGTTTTACATGTAAATGTGTAAAATTCTTACTTTAGACATACATTTCCAGCGCTTAGGGAAATATGCAATTCAGTCCCTGCTTCAGCATCCTGTTATTAACATGTGTATTAACCCCAGATCATCCCAAATATCCTCATTAAATATATAATCCAGTTGTTCATGTATATTGCTGATTTTCTCTTGAACTAAAAACAACACCAGGTTAGGTATACATTTGACTTTATTTTGCGACTCCCCTATGCGTTGTGTTTTTCCAGAAACGATTCCCTCCTATGTAAGAGAAAATGTCTTCATTATTAATTTTTATAAAGTCTAGCAAAGTTTGAATAGTTGCATTTGAAAGATTAATGTTTGCTTTTCCTTTTTTAACAGTCATAATCCCTACACAAGTCGTAGATTGTGCAAACTATGCATGTTATAACCACTCGATCAACGTAAATATGAAATCTGTCGAATAGTTTCGAAGTGTTTGAGAAAAGTAGACGTATATGCTAGCCGAACAAATGAGCAAAAGAAAGTTTAACTATTGCTACCTTACGTGGGCTCTTTGGATTTTGTAAATTCATCTTTCATATACCGAAAAAAGACGTGACCCACATCTCTTCTGACTCCGAAGCGGTGAAAATCGACTCCCCCATACGCTGAAAACGACTCCCCCATACTTTTTAGCGACTCCCCCGCGTTACCTGTTGTATACGGTGTGCATGAGTATTTTAAACTGACGTTCTTATACCTACAGACAAAAGTGTGTAATTTATTTAGCACCGACAGACAAATGTGAGAATTTTAACTGATGTTCTTACACCGACAAGCAAACATGAGTATTTAAACTTGACGCTCTTACATCGACAGACAAACGTAAGCATGTAAAATGGAAGACTTACACTAACAGAAAAGGTGATTAAATAAAACTAATGTCCTAACACCAACAGACAAATGTGTGTATTATAAATGTCTTTACACTGACATACAAACATGTGTATATAACACTGACGTTCTTACACCGACAGACAAACGTGTGTGTATAAAACTGATGTTCTTATACCGACAGACAAGACAAGTCGGTGAAAGAACGTCGGTTTTATATATTCACGTTTGTCTGTCGGTGTTTTATACATACATGTTTGTATGTCGGTGTAAGAACATCAGTTTTATACACACATGTTTGTATGTCGGTGTAAGAACGTCAGTTTTATACACACATGTTTGTATGTCGGTGTAAGAACGTCAGTTTTATACACATATGTTTGTCTGTCGGTGTAAGAACGTCAGTTTTATACACAAACGTTTGTCAGTCGGTTTATTAACGTTAGTTTTATACACATACGTTTGTCTGTCGGTTTATTAACGTTAGTTTATATACTAGCTAGTAAACACCTGTTTGTCTGTCAGTGTTATAACGTCATTTTCATATATTCATGTTTGTCTGTCGGTGAAAGGATATCAGTTTCAAATACACAAGTTTTCTGTCTGCATAAAAACAAGAGTTTTAAATAGACAAGACTTTCTGTCGGCTTAAGAACGTTGTTTTTATACACACGTGTTTGTCTGTCGGTATAAAAACGTCAGTTTTATATACACGTTTGTCAGTCGACACCGGTGTAAAAAAAGTTAATGCAAGATAACCAGCACGAACACGGGTCGCCATTCCACGCCGATACCCATGACAATTATAAAGCAGTCAGGTGTAACGAATGCGACGAGTATACCCTAGTGTTGATGTATCGTTGATAATGATATCGAAAATGGTGTATGCCTATTTACGAGTCGTGTTCAGCTTTAACTGTGTATATACAACCTATCGACGAATCTCAGTATATTTAACCGATATTCTTAAATTACTTCTGTCTTTCCTTCAGTTCCATTTTTTATTGTTTGTCAATTTACGCCTGACAAATAGAACAGACAGTGGGAGTAAATTTACCCGAGAGTAATACATGAGTAAATTGAACCGACAGAAAAACTAGTGAATGGACCGACAGACATACAGTAGCCAATTAAACCGACGGACAAACAGATGTACATTGGACTGATGGACATACAGTAGAAAATTGAACCGACAGACAAAAAGGAGTAATTTTGACCGACGGACAAACAGGAGTAAACTGGTCCGAAGAAAAAAACAAGAGTAAATTAAACCAACACACAAACAGATGTACATTGGATCGATGGACATACAGTAGAAAATTGAACCGACAGACAAACAGGAATAAATTTGACCGACGTACAAACAGGAGTAAACTGGACCGACGGACAAACAGGTGTAAACTGGACTAACAGAAAAACAGGAGTGAACTTGACCGACGGACAAACAAGAGTAAATTGAACCGATGAACAAATTGTAGTAAATTAGACCGACATACAGGAGTAAAATTGAACCGATGATCAAACAGGAGTAAATTGAATCGACCGACAAACGGGAGTAAATTAAACTGACAGATAAACAGAACTTAATTGGACCGGCGGAAAAGCGGGAGTAAATTGAACCGACGGGCAAATAGGGGTGAATTGAATCGTCAGACGAATATGAGTAACTTGAACCATGATAATATTTACGGACTGACAAACAGGAGTAAATTGAAACGACGGGAAAACAGGAGTAAATGAGTCCGACGGAAAAACAGTAGGAAATTGAAACGACGGACAAACAGGAGTTAATTGAGCCGCGGACAAACAGATTAAATTGAATTGGCGGACAAACAGGATTAAATTGGACCAACGGACAAACAGAATGACAGAAGTGAATTGAACAGGCGGACAAACTTGAGTAAACTGAAGAAACGAACAAACAGGTGTAGATTGAATCTACGGACGCTTCGCGGATTATAAAGCGTAAACTGACCAAATCAGGTTATAATCAAATAATCTGGCCAAGAATTAGAGTCATTCCTTAATTATTTTAGCTTATACACTGATCATTATCCAAAACATTTCATGTATGATTTATATGCACACAATTAAGTAAAGCTGCAACACAAATGTCTTTTTAAATACATGTATTTGTTAAAAGAATTCAAGTTACTTCAGTGACAGTTATGTCTCTAATCAGAGGTTTAGTGGACCTTAAGAGAAACACAGGTATATATATATACAGGTTATCCCTTTTTTCAACGAAAAAATCAAATTGCATGTTTATGTGTTGTGTGGAGTCATCTCATTAATTGATCTTACATCCAAAACTGATTTATCTTAAATACCAGCATGCAAATATCTTTTCAATGTCAGTTTATGGCAAATATGGAAATTATTGGTTTGAATTTGCCATCGACCTGGATATATAAGAAACCTTTTCGAAAAGAGACTGTAAAAACACATCTGTATGGTTTGATATTTTTTTTTATATACGGATAGTATAGGAAAATTGTGATTTGTGACCAAAATAAACCTTTTTATCAGTACTTCAAGCATTCGATTGATTTAGAATTTTGAATCTTTCAGCCTCTTTAGCCCTGGGCGTCGCCTCTGTTGATTACCAAACAAAGCTGAACAGAAAGAACCATCATACACACGAGTTTGAGAAAGCCGGCAACATCCTACGCCGTGGACAAGTATTTGTCATCCGTGTGACCTTTGACAGAGAGGTCAAGTCAGAACATGACGTCATTATTCTGCAGTTTACTTATGGTAAGCATTTGTGAACAATGACTATAACAATTTTAGAGTGTGACTCTAGTAGCCCAGACTAGCTTAACAAAGAATTTCTTTATGTCCAGTTTCGTATTGTAAATAGTTAAACTTCTTTATATAAATATATTTATTCTGCTTCATAAAGGATCGCGACCTCAGGAGAGCAAAGGGACAGTGATCAGAATACCACTGAATTTAAAACCATCGACAAAGTCGTCTGACGTCACGGGAACATGGTTTGCAGAAGTTCAGAGTATTGCCAAAAATGTGGTGGAGTGTGGCATAAAATCTGCTTCAGACAGCAGTATCGGGAGCTACCAGTTCTACGTGGAAACAAACCTGGTGGATAACAAAGAATCCCTGAAAAGATTTAAAGAGAAGGAACCGTGTATCATTCTCTTCAATGCCTGGGCAAAAGGTAACAAGTTGCGCTTCTCTCTGGTAGAAAAAAAACTTTGCTTAAATTAGGACATTTTCATAAGTAAAACTATCCGAATAACCGAGCACTCGATCAGGAAAGATATGCGAGTACATTTGTAATTGGTTACTTCAAGTTGTCCGATTTGACGACGCTACTCAATATACTTGTTCGACTATTTTCTATTAAATAATCACCGTTATCGTTGGATTTACAGAGGACACTGTATACATGGAGAAGGAAGAGGAGAGAGCGGAGTATGTACTGAATGAGACGGGCAGAATCTGGACTAGAAAAAGTTATTCGGGGCGGCCTTGGAATTTTGGACAGGCAAGATTTGAACCTGAGAGAGTTCACTTGCTTTTTTTAAAAAAAAAATGCCTGAACAATATAGAATACTTTACTATTAATTTAACTTTTTTTATTGCTCAAAACTTTCGAAATCCATTTTGCAAAATCTTGGTGTTGAAACTTTTTTATTTGTCTGTTTTCATTTTCTTTGCCACATTTGGAAAAAGGACTTTCACTGGTTTAAAAAGTTTAACTGAACCAAATTCGCCTTAACTGATTGATATTCTTAGTAAATTATCAACATTATATATACACTATAGCTACTACTCAACAATCTAGGATTTGAGGTACTCATTCCTGCTTTGTTTGTAGTTTCATTGGGTTACTCATTCCAGCTTTGTTTGTAGTTTGATGACCCGGTGCTCGATGTCGCCCTGCAGCTGTTGTCCGATGGGGGTTTATCTGACGTGGCCTGTACTTCTCCAATCTCCGTCATCCGATGTATCTCATCTCTGGTAACTACAATTATCACTGAACGTAAAGAAAGGCTATCTCAAATGTGTGAGTAAGATGTTATATGATATGAGATATAGGCCATCCAATGCATCTCATCACGGGTAAAGATGATTTAAATATCACTGAACGTAAATTAGGGCCTTCTTTGATGTGTGAGTCAGATTCTGTCAGGTTTTATGTTCCTTTCAGTGCAATTCCTATGACAATAACGGTGTTTTGGAGGGAAGGTGGACTTCGGAATACCCGGATGACTGTACAGTGCCCTGGAAGTGGACTGGGAGTGTTCCAATCGTCAAGGAGTACCACACCAACGGAAACAAGCCCGTCCGGTACGGTCAATGCTGGGTGTTCTCCGGACTCACCACAACAAGTAAGTCCATCAATTATGGCAGGTGTTTAATCTAATGCAATACTATGTCGTAAACACGTGGTCATCCTAAAACTGTTTACATTTAGTCTGTCGGTGTCTTGGAATACCTACAAGGTCCGTGACCAACTTCGATTCTGCGAATGACACAGACAGTAGCATGACCATAGACTTTCATTGGGACGAGGAGGGGGAACCCATAGAAGATATGAACGATTCCGTCTGGTGAGTTGCCATAATCAAATAATAAAAAAATGTTTTTAGTGTTGTATGAAAGAACTCCAAAACGTCTTGTTACATAGGAACTTTCACGTTTGGAACGAGTCTTGGCTGCGACGTTTAGATTTACCGGAGGGCTATGACGGTTGGCAAGCACATGACGCCACGCCACAGGAGGCTAGTGAAGGTGTGACTTCAATTATCGTGTTAGATAAAATCGAGTCAGAAATTATGTGTTATACTGTATTTTAGGCACAAAATTAACAACTAAATTACTGACATTTTCATCGACTTTTATTCATATATTCTTCAGGATTGATGAGGTGTGGCCCCGCCCCTTTGAAGGCCATAAAAGAAGGTCACGTGTATCTCTGCTACGACATATCCTTCAAATACGCCGAGGTCAACGGAGATCGCGTTCAGTGGGTGGTAGGTTAACAAACATATCCTCACAAAAAATTCGTAGCGTGAAATAGGAATTTATATCATACGTGTGTCTGTCTGATCAATCTTCCTTGGGCTATAACTTTGTATTGAAATTCAATTGTTTATGACCGGAAAGGGATTGTCCTGACTTTGACAAAAGGCCATTCCGGTAGGGTTGAGGTCACTGATAAAAAGTGCTTCAAAACACTTAATAGGCTATAACTTTGTAATGGAAAAAATCCTTAGTAAAAAGATTATTTATGACCTAAAAATGTGTCGCGACCTCAAACCAAGATCAATGAGCAAGTTTTCTATGCTATAATTCTTTGGAAATTTGTACATGGTACACAATTTTTTTTATGACATGAGGGTGTCAAGACCTTGACCCAAAGTCATTGTGACAAAATGGAGGTCCTTGACAGTGAAATGCAATGCATGCCCGCTCTTTCATATGTAGAAATAAAGGTTATCCATTTCCATTAATACAAAGATTACTGAGGACTTTTAAGAGGACATGTCATTTTTTCCAGCAAGTGTGATTGATTGATTGTATACTGTAAATCACTTTTTCTTCGCGAGAACTTTATTTTCGCGTAATTACGCGACACACTGCGTTCACGTAAATTAAATTCTCGCGTGTAAAAGTATTCCTTACGATTATATAGAGGAATAACAACTATTCGTGAAAATTATGTCTCGCTTACTAAGAGCCAATGACAATTACGCGAAAATAAGGTGTCGCGAAAATTTAGTAACGTCCCTCTCGAAAATTTTTCACTTATATGGAGACGCCATCACTTGTCGGTGTAGAGTTGTAAATTTCATCGTAAACTCGGCACTAGGGCCAATGAGGAGGGAAGGATATTTTTCGTGCCAGCATCTACTGCTACACGGGACATCCATTTATACGATGGAATTCGAACCCGTAGCAAGTTCGATGTCACATTAAAAAAAAATAAAAATAGTAACTTTGCTCGAGTTGTATATTCCGGTTTTCGCTTTTGAAATATTATGGTTATATGTAGGTCAAGAGAGATGGTACCATGGAAGTAAGCCAAATTTACCATCACGCAGTGGGTTCATTCATCAGCACGAAAGAGGTTGGATCCTCCTACAGAGAGGATGTGACGCACCTGTATAAATACCCAGAAGGTGAGGAAATACCAAGGATAAAAACAAATCCACATAGAGGGAATGATACATTCTAAAATTATCTTCCACTTTGAATAAATTTTACAATTTAAAGAGCCGAAAAGAAAACTGGAAATATTTCCCTTACTTTCAACTTCTTGCCTATACAATATTTATTTTGAATGAACAGGAAGTGACGAGGAACGGCGAGTGGCCCATTTTGTCAACAGATACAGTACAAGGAGGAAGCAGAATATTTATAACCTTGACACTCCGAAGGAGTTAGAATTCACGATTACGTCACCAGAGGAAACACTGATAGGAGACGACCTAGAAATAAAGGTCGCTGTAAAAAGCATGACAGAGCAGTCCCGCACAGTTAGTTTGACCTTGACCCTGGTCAATGCTTACTACACCGGGGTTTCGGGGTCAAGGGTCAAAACTCAAACGTTTAAGGAAACCATCGGAAACAAAGATGGTAAAGTTCAAATCGTGTACAACTTTCAAATTTATAACTTCTTTAAAAAACAAGGATCGGAAACACACTGTTGAGAGGAAGAAAGAAACAAGAGGCCCAGGGGCCACAGCGCTCACCTGAGCACATTGGCTTGGAAAAAGCACATATCAGATCAGAAATGAAAGTTTACGGGGGGGGCTTGTTAAACCCCCAGGGGTTCATGATTTGAACAAACTAGAATCTACACTACCTGAAGATGATTCCATATTAATATCACTAATCATAGCTTTGAAGTACTTGAAAAGATGATTTTAAAAGGTTTCCCTATAAATCCCTATGTAAAACTTTGGTCGGCCATTTTGGCCCCACCCTAGCCCCGGGGGTCATGATTTGAACAAACTTGAATCTACACTACCTGAGGATGATTCCACATGAGGTCAATGGAGATCGTGTACAGTTTCATCTTTCCTGGCCCAAAGGTTCTTGAGAAGAAGATTTTTAAAGATTTTTCCATATATTTCTATGTACAAACTTCGTTCTGACGCATAGCCCCGGGGGTCATGATTTGAACAAACTTGAATCTAAAACTACCTATCAGGTAATTTTAGGTCATGAGTTTCATCTTTCCTGGCCCAGTTTCTTGAGAAGAAGATTTTTAAAGATTTTTCCTATATATTCCTATGTAAAACTTGGGTTGGCCAATTTGGCCCCACCCTAGCCCCAGGGGTCATGATTTGAACAAATTTGAATCTACACTAGCTAAGGATGATTCCACATGAGTTTCATCTTTCCTGGCCCAGTGGTTCTTGAGAAGAAGATTTTTAAAGATTTTTCCTATATATTCCTATGTAAAACTTGGGTCGGCCATTTTGGCCCCACCCTAGCCCCGGGGGTCATGATTTGAACAAATTTGAATCTACACTACCTAAGGATGATTCCACATGAGTTTCATCTTTCCTGGCCCAGTGGTTCTTGAGAAGAAGATTTTTAAAGATTTTTCCTGTATATTTCTATGTAAAAGTTGGGTCGGCCATTTTGGCCCCACCCTAGCCCCGGGGGTCATGATTTGAACAAACTTGAATCTACTCTAAATGAAGATGATTCCACATGATTTCATCTTTCCTGGCCCAGTGGTTCTTGAAAGAAGATTTTTAAAGATTTTTCCTGTATATTTCTATGTAAAAGTTGGGTATTTTGGCCCCACCCTAGCCCCGGGGGTCATGATTTGAACAAACTTGAATCTAAACTACCTGTGGATGATTCCACATGAGTTTCATCTTTCCTGGCCCAGTGGTTCTTGAGAAGAAGATTTTTAAAGATTTTTCCTATATATTTCTATGTAAAACTTGGGTCGGCCATTTTGGCCCCACCCTAGCCCCGGGGGTCATGATTTGATCAAACTTGAATCTACACTACCTGAGGATGATTCCACATGAGTTTCATCTTTCCTGGCCCAGTGGTTCTTGAGAAGAAGATTTTTTTAAAATGCCATTAAATTTTCTCTAATTCATAATTATCTCCCCTTGGAAAAGGGCGTGGCCCTTCATTTGAAAAAACTTGAATCCCCTTTACCCAAGGATGCTTTGTGGCAAGTTTGGTTGAATTTGGCCCAGCGGTTCTTGAGAAGAAGTCGAAAATGTGAAAAGTTTACGGACAGACAGACGGACGGACGGACGCCGGACAAAATGTGATCAGAAAAGCTCACTTGAGCCTTCGGCTCAAGTGAGCTAAAATGTTTGCCATTGATTGGATTAATTTTCAAACGATTTGTTAATGAAAAAAAAAATTAAAACAACCTTAAGCTACAGTTATGGGTAATATTCTTTGCTTAATAAATTATTTCTAACTTTTAGAGAAAGTGGTTAAAATGCAGGTGAAGGGAAAAGACTATCATCCCAGAATGAATCCAGAAGGACGGTTCCAGTTGTTTATTTCCGGGAAGAATTTGGAGACTGGTAGACTACAGTCAAAACAAATCACTTTTGTTCTGAAGAAGCCAGAACTGGTTATTCAGGTACTCTTTCAAATATTGGTACAATTAGCCGTAATACTTAGTACTTCTCTTTAAGTAAACACAAGAAGTACTTTTTTACGATTTCCCCCTTATTGTTAGGCTCCAAAGACGATAGCAGTCAATGAAGATACAGAGGCGACCATTATATTTAAGAACACAACGCAACTCGTTCTGACGCATGCGGAAATAGCAGTAGAAGCTTCCGGTCTCCTCACTCCCAAAACAATTGTTATCAGGTAACTATAGGTCATGTCGCTCTATCTCTGTCTCTATCTCTATCTCTATCTCTCTCACGAATCTGTCCGTTTTTGATTTTATTTTAAGACTTAAATTCAGGAACTAATTTAGCAGCTCATGGTAAAAAAATGCAGTAAAGTTTACATTAGGGAATACCCTCAGATGTCGCTCTCTTTGTAATTTGAATTATTAGCAACCCTATCAAACCCGGTGATGAGGTCAAGGAGACGGTGATCCTTCACCCCCGTAGACGTTACTGGTGGGGCAGGGATATCATCGCCACCTTCACCTCCAAACAAATCGTGGACATTGAGGCCAGCGTAGAGGGGATAAAGATCGTCAAATCAATGGATGTGGAAGATAGTGACGACGACTAGGTCAACCAGTGTAGAGGATAAAGACGAATACTTTGTCAATGTATATATAAACGACAACTAGATCAACGAATGTAGAGGAAAGTAAATGTAGTTATGATTGTGTAGATACGATAAATAAAGAGGAAAGATGTATGAAATTGATGTTAAATAAGATAGGAATGATCTCAAACGAACATATCAATATCAATTACAGCAAGACTATCACTAAATTATGCATTTGCAGTCTTGTTTAATATTAATTCTCGGTGAACTAACACTTAATTTTTTTACTCTTAAAGAGTATTTACAATGCACATTCATATCATAATATGCCAGAATGACACATTCTGAGTAATAAGTGTGTGTATGTTTTGCTTACATGAAGAAAAAATATCATATAGGAATGTATGCTTTATAAATCTGCTTTATGTTAGTCAATATCTTTAAATGTTCCTTTCGTATATCATTTCTTATTTTTATCTTGCATAAAAGTAAAAAACAGGCATATCAATTTTATGTTGTCAATTATTGTTTTGTGCATATGTTGGATAGATACAATATGAAAGAACTAGTGTACTTGAACTAAAGCTGCGTTAAAATAAGAAACCTACAGTTTGGATGATTTCGTACACGTTTAAATGATGAGAGGGTATCAGTATATCAAACTGTTTACGCGCGTTGTTTGCCCAATTATTTCCAATCCAGTGAAACCTGGGGTTGTCAAGATTTTCTTGCAAACCATCGCATTTACCCACTCGACTGGTCCATCCTTTTGTCATTGAACATCTCGCATTATGTGGATGTAAGGGTTTGAAATGCCCAAGCTGGTCTCTTTCAACTATGGGCTGCCTTGTTGAAAAGGTTGAATAATATCCTTTTTTGAAGTATAAACAAACTCATAAATTCCATGTAAAGATGCTTGAGTTTCTAATTGACAATAATTTAAGTTGTCTTTGGAGATCAGGTCTTCCAACAATCCCATGGGTACCAATTGCACCCCGTTAATAGAAGACCTAGTTTTAAACATATGAAGCAGAATCTGTGCAAAATCTTATGCGTGAAAAGAGGAAATCACTTGCTGTGGCCTTCAACTCAACATTTAGATATACTGACGACGTATTGGCAATTAAAAATGACAATTTCCATTCTTATCTCCTGGTGAGCTTGAGATAAAAGATACCATAGAGTCTGACACATTAGCTTCGTATTTGGATATTTTATTTAAAACAGACGTTAATGGTATTCTAACAACAAAGCTCTTAATAACTTTTCTATCAACTTCCCTAACCCAGCAATATACCTCCATCACCTGAATAAGTAGTGAATATATCTCAGTTGATCTGATATGCCAGAGCATGCTCTACGTATGAAACTATGAAACATTTTTAAACGAGGTAAATTATTTTGAAAAAAAAAACAAGTTGATAAAACAAGAATATTAGCGGTCTCGTTTAAAAGTCATCATTTCGTAGGTTCTATGGTAGATACAATGACCTTATCAGCAAATAAATCATTGGGTTAAGTGCTGACTGACGTTTTTCCATTATTTTATACACTGACTTGACGATGGATTTTCACCTTTTTTTCCCAATCATGACTGCAATTAGGAGCACGATGCGGATGAAACCGGTCGACAGGGGATGCTTACTCCTCCATGGCACCTGATCCCACCTCTATTTTTTGGAGGCCCGCGTTTGCTGTGCTCCTATTTTGAATTGTTTTAAGGACTTTGATATTGAATACTTTAGTTATCTCCATATATTTCATTTCATGTTTTACAAAACCAATATCCTGTCATGCAAGTTGATGTAGTTTAAGTCGTCCATTAAATTCGCTCAACAGTATATCCACAATTTAACGCGCAAAAGATTCTACTAAAAAGTTTAATCTTCCTTCCCATTCGACAATCTTTTTATTTCATTCTAATGTTGCGAAAGCAAATCGTACTAAAGACATGGATCGGTTGCAGTTAGTTCTACGAAAGTGATAATAACGGATGTATTACGTGTGTATCATGACAGCACACTTCGAGGACAGTGTGGCATACAGCATTGTTTAGATTCGTGAAAGAATACAGAAGTTGTCACAGCCTGTGTTCGTTCATGCTTTCCTTGCCAACAGGGAAAACTGACATAAAACCATACCAACTCTTTTATTATGTATATTTTACCTACTAAGATGTGGTGTTTATTCACACTTATCATGAAGATGGCAAAGTTAACGAGCAGTTAACAAATAAATGCTACATAGTTGCAATAAGAATCAAGAACAAAACAAAGACATATTTGAGCAATTCAAGTGCAAATCCTATCATGAATGTGCATATGCACGGTATTCTTATTAAACAATTAATGCGTCAATAGATCGTCCAATCATTCAGAGTTACTGAGAACCGAGGTCAGGGATTTTTAAACATCGGTCTTACTTGAACAAAAAGATCAGATAGCAGATGATCACATGAGAGCTCTTCAATTTGTTAGGATTTCTTGTTTTTAATCACGTTAGGATATGAAGATGGTCCTAAACTGGATTTAATCTTTTACTGTACAACTTCCACAGGTAAAAGGTATGGGTTTCTATCAAGTTGATGATTAAAATTTTCCAGTACATATTTAAAGTACAGAAAGTATACATCCATTCGATAGCAGTGAGATAATAAACCAGGTTCAAATAGCCAATGGTATTATTCTGAAAGAAAGTCTCAACGTAATAGGACGTATATTAAGTACCAGGCCCTGGGATCATGAAACAGACTTAGACTTAAGTCAAGATTTCAATTATCTATAAAATTTTTACAACTTGTTAAAGGAAACTCATAATTTGCATGCAACAGCAGGTTGAGGATACAAAATCGGAAAGCATTTTCATTTTGGACTGCATGACCTCTAAAAAAGTTCAGCATCTAAGGCATTTTTTGACTTAAACTTAAGATGCTTCATGATCCCGGGGCCTGGTTCCTTTAACCCCCATGTTTTACAATAGAACGGCCAAAGATTGTGCATAAAATCCTAACAATCAATAGGTATTATTGATGTCATAAAAATCAAATGACTTTTTTTGCTCTACGTGGACGTCAAGGTTTTTAGAAAAAGTTCAGACATAAACAGTGTTTTTCTTTTTAAAAAGTGCATTAATATACTTAATCGAAATTTTGATAATATTTTTAAAACTGTATAAATAAATTCCAAAAAGATTGATGAAAACAAATATGCTTTAATATTTTTGTTTTATAATCTTTAATTCAAAAAAGGCGCTTAAAGGCATTGCAGCTGTTTTTACTGTTTAATTTTCATAAATGTACAGAAACGTGTGGCTATGTTAGAATACTTTAGACCCGTTTTCATAACTTGACGTATCCACAAAGAGAATCCCGTCTTTTCAAAAAAGAATCTACCGACTCTTAGGAACAACCGACCCCATAAAAGTGTACATAGAAAATAAAGTAAAACAAATAAATATTTTACTTGTTTTAACAGTTTGGATATTTAAAGTTTTTTTTCTGTATCTAGACTATTACGTTGTTGTTGTACTCCAGGAAGAAACCTTTGAAACTTTACCACTTTTACATACATTTTTATACGTTACGGTCGTGACGCTCTAGTGCCTGGACGTCGAAAGGACATGAATGAAATATATCTACAATTTTCAATTTACATTCCTGACACAAAGCCTTTGCAATGTTAATACCTAAACTAATGATTAAATGAACTCTGTTTTTAATTGTTAATATGTAAATAAACAAACCCCATCCTAACTTTCCTTGTGAAACATCAAAGGAAGGATCAGATGACACGGTCCTCTTTTATGCCGTAGTTATGAAGGAGAGCAAAATTATTTTACTAAAAAGTTTTCGAAGTAAGAGATATTATATATACTATATATACCCTTAAAATCGCAGATAGTTTGTTTAAAATGGTAATTAAATTATTTGGATATATTAATTGATAAAGACATTAACGATAATTTAACAATTAAGCTCTATGATAAACACAATGAATTGAACTTTTCCAACTTCCCTTACTTAAGCATCAATATACCTTCATCATCTGCATACGGTGCTTATTTAACTTAGTTGATTCGATACGCAAGAGCATGCTCTACGAATGAACAATGTCTAAAACGAGGTAAATTATTCACAAACATGTTGATTTATCAAGAATATCAGCAGTCTCGTTTAAAGTCATCAAATCGTAAGTTGTATGGTCGACACAAAGACGTCAGCAAATACAATTTATCATTGAGTCGAATGTTGATTCACTGGGATACACTGAATTGACGATTGAATTTTTCCGTTATTTTTCGATCATGACAAGGAGCACCCGGTGTTGTGACCGGTCGGCAGGGGATGCTCACTCCTCCATGGCACCTGATCCCACCACTGATGTTTCGGAGGTCCGTGTTTGCTCTGCTTCTATTTTGTATTGTTTTATGGACTTTTGGTCTCCGTATGTTCCATGTTTCACCTAATCTATGAAGTGCATTTTTACCCTCCTTATAGGATTTAAAAACATTTTATAGGTAAGCAATAAAATTTGCCGCCTTATTCCAGTTATGATCGAATGCTCAAAAAAGGCGAAATATATGCGTTTTTTCACGATTTCTTCCCTCGCAATTTATGGTCATAAACACCAGGGAAATAAAACTGAATAAAACAGGTTAACAAAAGGCTAGATTTTTAATTTAAAAAATAATGCTAAGTGTATTTTGATTAATTTGAACATAGAAAAAATTTTGCTTCTCAGCTGAAACAATGTTTTTTCTACCTAATTCATATCTACAGATTGTTATCTAACATGTGTCTATGGTAAGAATTTACCTTAGCTGAAACCTTCATATAGTTTTCTAGTAAAAAGGCTTGTCAGTAGCAAGTATATTTTATTAATTTAAAGATCTGAAAAGGAGTAACGTGTATGATACTTACAAATATTTTTATGCTACTGTTGAATTACAAATAAGTTTTTTTGTCGTCAATTTCGAACTGTACTTTTATTTCCTTAATTTTAATTTTCACGCCATTTAATTTCTCATTTTAACAATTATGAAATGTAACAAACCTTGGCTACTGCTAAAAAATGTAATAAATAAAAAAAAATATATGTCCTTATCAAAACGTTATGCTTGGCTTAAGCTTAACGTTTTTCTTAAAATATACTTGAAAATACCTATTCTATTGTTTCATTAACTGAAACCTGAACTTGCATTAAAAAATTCCGTTATGATTTCAGTGAACCGGTACATCGAACCTACAGACAGATACAGAGATGAACAAATTAAATGCTGAAAAATAACCGGAACATCGAACCTACAGACAGATACAGAGATGAACAAATTAAATGCTGAAAAATAACCAAGAATTTGTTATTCGTTTATTCCTTTTCTAACATCTAAGGGACTTTAAAGCAATTATACTAGTACACTTAAATTTCTGAGTTGTATTCTGTTCGACTTTGATTGCTGAGTTGAGAAAATGGAAACTAGCAACCTTGAACAAGGAGAAAAAACGATAGAAATCTTGACAGAATTAAAGGACAATATAAGAATTGGGGACGAACCTAAGATATTCAAGCAACTTCAAAAAATCGAGAAACTTGACGACGAAGCTGTAAAGGC